ACAAATTCCTTTAGTTTCTGTTTATCAGGAAACATCTTAATTTCACAGTTGTATTTGAGTGTATAATTCTTTGTTGGCAGTTTTTTCTTTCAGAGTTTTGTATATGTCATTCCATTGCCTTCTTAACGACATGATTTCTGCTGAGAAATCAGAGTTTAGTCTTATTGATTCTCCTTTGTAGGTAACTTTTCTTTTTCCCCAAGCTGTTCTCAGGATTCTTTCCTTGTCTTTGGTTTTGGAGAGTTTGATTATAATATGTCTTTTTTTGTTTGTTTGTTTGAATGTTTTATTGTGAATTATGTGATAGTTTACATGGGAGAACATAAGCTTTACCTTTATCCTATTATATATCTTTTCATTGCCATGGTTACAATCCCCTCCATGCATCATCAAACAACCAAAGGGTATACCCCGCAAGTCTGCCCGCCAGGTTGGCAGCACACAGCCCCTTTCCCTCTCTGGGTCTAGAGTCCCCAGCCTCTCCATCTCCCCACATCATCGTCTCTGCCTCCATCCCTGACATCACTGCTTCTCTGGATAGGGTCCCACACTCCACTCTTCTCCCTTGATGGTCGCGACCTCTGCTCCTGGACTGCAAAGTCAATCACTCCCCTCCTTTTGCTACAAAACATCTACCTTTACATTTCCAACCCTCACAGTCAGTCCTGATAACAATTATTCACTATTGTACCACAAGAGACCTATCCCCATCTCCTTTCATCAGCCCCGCCCAGACAGACTGGATACTACTCAGTGGAGATTCTACCTTCCTCCCTGCCCTCTGGATTTAGGTTCCCTCTTGAAAGCTTGTAAGCCAGTCATTTCTTGCCTTTGTAGCCCCCCACTTTGGGTAGCCAATGTCCAAGTTGCCCATCCCTGTCTACTCTGTGTATGGAGGGGGTGGGGATGATCCTCACTGTAAAGATTTGTTCCCTCTTTTGAGCTACTGCATGATTATGATATATGTTGATGATTTTCTTTTGGGATCAATCCTGTTTTGGGTAAGTTCAGCTTCTTGTATGCTTATATTCTCATCTTTTGTGATGTTAGGGAAGTTTTCTTCCAACAACTCTTGGACAATTTTCTCTGTCATTTTTACTGTTTCTTCCTGTTCTGGAATTCTGAGCATCTGTAAGTTGTTCCTCTTTATGGTGTCCCACATGACTTTTAGACTTTCTTTGAATTTTTTTCATTCTTTTTGTCTGATTGTTCTTCTAGCATACTAGTGTTAAGAGATTTCTCTTCAAGTTCACCAATTTGGTCTTCCATTTCTTCTAATCTCCTCCATTGCCCTTTCAATGTATTGCCCATTTCTGAAATCTTAATATTAATCTTCTAGATTTCTAGTAGCAGGTTTTGTATTATTTAAAGATTTGCACTTATTTTGTCTGTTTGTTCTTGTAGTGTTTTCCTAAAGTTTTTTCTGTATTCTCTTTCCTTTCCTTGATTTTCTGTCAATCCTTTGAAGGTGCCCAAATATTGTCATTCTGAATTCTTTTTCAGTTAGTTCCATCCCCTTTTCTTCCTCAGAAATGTTATTTGGCTCTGCATCTTGGTCATTTTCATGAGCCAGTCTCTCTTGTTTTTTTGTTTTGTTTTTTGCTTTCTTAAAATACTGAGTTTATTTCACGTGTATATTTTTGTCTCCCCACCATTTCCATGTGTCTGACCACTGCTACTACTATGTCCGATCATAACATTCCATACATACTTAAAACCAAGCAAAGGGTGGAGTTCCATCTTTAAAAACTAAACAGGCATTTTGGACAACACATTCTTGGCAAAGGAACCTGGACGACATTTATCAGATATGGTAGGGAAAGTTCTCACTCTGCATTATAAAAAAGGACAGCCAGATAGCAACTGTTACAGAGATGAAATAAGACGGAAAGTTTTAACAAACTGTTTCAACTATTTTCTTAAAGAGACTTCCTCCACTGCCAGAGATCTTGAATAGCTCTTGGTCTCTCATCCGGAAACAATTCTTCACATAATTGATGAATTTGGCTTCCACCTTGGGAAGGGAACCACCTTTTTCTATACTTGCTTACATTTTTGCTTTAATATCTTCTACAAAACTAGGTCCTTTCAGTGTTTTAGGTGTTTTTTCTTGTTTTTTTGAAGGTTTCTTGACCTTTTGATCTTGGTGTTGATGGTTTGCTTTGTGTGCATTTTTAGCTGGAATGTCCCATATAGATTTCTTCACTGGAACTTTTCCTTCAGTTTCATCATCATCAAAATCATCATCATCTTCTTCGTCATCATCATCATCATCATCATCATCTTCATCTGCAGTGAGCTTTACTTTTTTCTGTGGAACCTTGTTACCACTTGCAGGGCAGACAACTTTCCTGATATACTTAAGAGTTTCCCTTCTTCCTCTTCATCATCTGACTCTGCATCTTCCTCCACAGCTACTAAATGCTGTTCACTAATATGCACAGGCCCTGAGCCACACTTCAACCGTTACACCACTGGTGGCGTTATTTCAAAGCCCCCAAGGGAGACCGTTGGGTATACAGACATTTTCAAAGTAACCAGTGTGACTTTAATTGGGCTACCTTCATAATTCATTGCCTCTGCTTCAACAATGTGCAATTAATCCTTGGCACCAGCCCCCAAACTGACCGTTCTTAATGATGACATGCTCATTTTCATCATTACCTACCTTAAAGTGAGAATCTTTATCAGCTTTTAGTTCACAACTGAGGAGATGGTTTTGAGGTCTCAGAGGGCTCATGTCCATATCCATCAAATCCTCCAGGGGGCGATGGTGTGCACTTCGGGGATACAGAAGAAGGGCCGAGAGAACTGGGATGTTGCTACTGAAAACAGCCACTCAGGACGGAATCGCACTGGGGACCTCTCTTGTTTTTTTGTGTGAACTAAAATTGTCTGTTGTCTCAGGAACATGGTGGAGTTGGTGTGTTTGTTTTTAGTTGATGACTGTGTGTTGACGTGTTCTCAGGCTCTCACCAGCTGTCTCCTGTGGGTGTAGTTAGAGAATGGAAGTGTGTACACTGTTCTCCTTTGCCATTGGTGCACCTCAGTTTATGGTGTTTTGGGCTGCTGTTGGCTGCTGTCTGTCACTGATCAGGTAGGACAGAAGTTGGTAGTGACTCATGCCCGGGTGGTAAAGCTTCGGAGGGTGTGGTTGTGACTGGGCAGTATGATCACAGTTGCTGTCTTCTGTTGGTTGGGAACAAACAAGAACATACGACAAGATACACAAATAAGGAATCAACAGTGAAAAGAGAACAATAAATTAAAACAAGAAGCATCAACAACAAAAAAGGAATAGAATAACTGAAAACAAAAGAGGGACAGGGAAATGGAGCTATAGAAGAGAAAAAGAAGACAGAAAATAAAAGGAAGAAATTTTCAAACAAAATTTGGAAAAAACAGGAAGTGGGAAGGTGAAAAGAAAGACTAGAGAGTGGTAAAGAAAGACCACAGGGGGAAAAGAGAAAAAGAGGGGAAATAAGAAAAAGAAGAAAAGAAGGGAAAACAAAAGCTGAAGTAGAAAGGATAATATTCAAGGGAATATAAAGAGAAGAAGGAGAAACAGTAAACAAAAACAATGGAACAATAGAAGGGAAAACAAATTAAAAACAAAAGAACAGTGCAGCAGTTGGACCCCAAGAGGAGACAACTCTTGGAGACCCCTGCAAGCCAAGGTGCTCCTGAGGGGGCGTGGGAGGAATGTGACCAAAGAGTCGCTGGCTGGAGATGGCGTGCTCCCAGCCTCGAGGTGTCTGTGTTCAGGCCACTCAGTCTGGACCGAGTCTGTGGCAGCCCTTGATAGAACTAGTTTCAGTGTCTGTTAGGACCACAGGGCAGCTGTGGGCAGGGTGACTGGTTCCATCTAGTAGTTCTGCTGGTTCTGTAAGTCTGGAGCCAAAACAAAGCATTGCAGCCAGCCCTGCCTCATTCTGGCATGGTTCCCAACCATGTGGCTCGGAATTCCAGGAAAGCACGGTCTACATTGGGGATGGATGAAGGTGGGAGCTGGCCACAGCGCTGGTCACCAGGGGAGCATGAGGAAAAGGAAGGAATCCTACCTTTCCAGTCGCTGTGTGAATCTGCTCGGCCAGGCCTCCCTTTTGTGGCCAACGCGGCTGACAAGATGGTGGTGTTACCTCTGGCTGGCTGTTCACCAGTCTGCCTCCCTCTCCCACCTCCTCTGCTCAGCTTCTTGTCCCAGCAAGCAGTCAATCCACTTCTCTAACCTTTCTTCTCAAGTTCAGGGTCCCAGGATTTCATCTGGATCTACTTCATGTGGTCTCTCATATCTTTGTTGTGGAGGGCCCAGGTCCGCCATCTTGCCGGAAGTCCTCAAATCATACGTTTTTAATCCTAGCCAATCTTTGCCTTTCTCAAGAAGTTTTCTAGTTATAGGTTTTATAGTTAGTTCTCTGAGTTACTTGAGTTAATTCTTATGTGTAGTATGAGGTTGGGGTCTAGGTTTCATTTCTCCAAATAAACATCCCCTTTGTTGAAAAGATTATTTTTTTTCTATTGAAATAACTTGGTCATTTATTAAAATAAACGGACCGTGTATATGTATGGGTCTATCTGTTTCGGATTTTCTATTCGGTTTCATTGATTGAGATGTTTATTAGGTTTCATTGATTGAGATGTTTATTCGGTTTCATTGATTGAGATGTTTATTCGGTTTCATTGATTGAGATGTTTATTCCACAATATCATTTAGCAGTAAGTCTTGAAATCAGGTAGTGAACATGTCCAGTTTTATTTTATTTCTTCTAAATTGTTTTCATTACTGTAGATATTTTGCATTGTTATATAAAATTTAAGATCAACCTGTCAATTTCTACAAGAAAGCCTGCAGGTGTTTTTACTGATACTGTGTTAAATCATTAGTTTAATTTGGGGAGATAGGACCTCCGAACATTATTGAATCTTCCGATTCTTGAGCACATGCCTTCTTCCATTGATTTCATTTCATTAGATTTCTTTCATTTGTGCAGAAAAGAGCCATGGGTATGTACTTTCCTGAGTCCCTGCCCTCGGGTCTAAAACTTGGCTCACCTGCCTGCCTCCACTAACTTAGTGTCTCTCTCTCTCTCTAGTGTCCGGCCGGCAGCTGCAACCAGAGGAACACGATGCAGAAACGGAAGAGGACCACTCTGTGAGTGAGACCTCCCCTCCCCAACCCATCCACTCCCTGGTCGGGTGGAGCCCTGGTGGTAGACATTCTGCCTCCCCACCAGGTGACGGAAGGGCCCCTGGATGAGATCATTCGGCCACGGCCTCAGGGATCCTCTCCTGTCTATGAATGCGCGACGGAAGCATTTGGACTCCCGGTAAGGCTGCTGGACAGAGACCCGCACGATCTCCTGTGTAGCCACCCTCCCTGACCTGCTGCCCAGTGGGCCACAGCTCTCCCTGTCTACCCCCCACCCCCACTGCTGAAAGACAGTGGCAATGGGGCCACCCTGCAGCCTGTGAGCACCCACAGGTGAGAGCAACCTCACGCTTTTAGAGGGAGCAGTGGCAGGGTACAGCCAGGGTGGTGGGTGCAGCTGACAGGCAGTTACACCCATGGGTGACACACACTGGTCTCTGGAGAGTGCCCTAGGGAACGGATTGGGGAGGCGTGCGTCCTAAAAGGTTTGTGTTGGAATTTCTTCTTACCTCCTTCCACCCAAGACCCCAGTTTCCATGGGGTTTACTGGAAGGTGTGTGTGTGTGTGGGAGGGGGCTAGGGCCCAGCAGGAAGCTCAAGGCCCTTTTCCTGGTGGAGGGCCCAGCATCCTTTGAGCCGGTACTGTGAGATGGTGACCTTGCCTGTCTGTGGCTGCAGGAAGACGCGCCCGGCAGGAGAGTCTCCTCAGGGAGACGGAGATCGTGGTGGAAGAGAGATTCGGGGGACACGCGCACTTTCTCCAGGATGAGTCGCCCCGAGGTGGGTCAGGGAGGCGTGCCCCTCAGGGGCCAGTGGAACAGGGTGAGGGGAGGACCCAGGAGGCTGACAGAAAGGGTACCTTTGTTGGGTTGGGGGAAGGGAGCCTTCTCCTCCCATGATACTCCCACCAAGATGTTAAGAGCTCAGACACCTGGTCAGGTGCACCTGGGCAAGTGGGCTTTGGTTTTCTCATCTGCCTGGAGGGGCGGTTGTGATGCCCATTCAGCTAGGAGCCTGGCACACAGGGGAGAGGTGTTCTTAGCACCTGCAGCACCTCAATGACGAGGCTGCAGCCTCCCAGGCAGCTGCTCTGTTTCCCGGGTGCCTGGCTTCGTGCCAAGGCCCCTCCAGGGTGTCCTGAGGTCACCTGGTACACTCGCTCAATGCACTGACCTGGGGGGTCGAGCCCTGTACACTCGCTCAATGCACTGACCTGAGGAGGTCGAGCCTTGTCTGATTGAGCACTGAGTGCCCAATATGAACTCAGCACTTTGTGCATTTGGGGACAGTGGGTGAGGTACCCTGGAGGAAGGCCTGCGGAGCTGCTCAACCGATGGCCAGGCTGTCCCTTGGGCCTGGTGTGGTGTGGGACAGGTGGAAGCAGTCTCCACTTGAGACAGCCTGAAGTTGGTTCCCAAAAACCTGGACTCGGGGCCTGAGACCCCATCCTCAGCAGAGGGGTGAAGACTCCATGTGCTTCCGCCCCTGTCCATGCAGGGGCCCACAGAGGTGACGCTGAAGACTGAGGTGGAGGTTGGAGCCAGCGGCTACAGTGTCACTGGTGGTGGGGACCAGGGGATCTTTGTCAAGCAAGTGCTGAAGGAGTCCTCGGCTGCTAAGCTCTTCAGCTTGAGAGAAGGTACCAGGCTTCCCATCTGGGGGTCCCCATTGCCCATCCCCAGGAAGGAGACCTGCAGGGGCACAGGGTCCACACCAAGCTTGGCCACTTCCAGACAGGGGTCCCTGCTGTGTTCTCCCCAGGAAACGGGGCGCCTCCTCTAGCTTGGGCTTCCTTTTGCCCAGAAGCTAAATGGAGCTGGGCCACGTGGTGGTGGTGGGCGTCTCTTCGCTTTCACACACCCCCTACTGCGGGGTGTGTGTGTGTGGGTGGGTTCAGTGAAATGAGGGAGTTGGAGACCTGAGGGGGACCTAAGGGTCACTCTCTCCTTGTCCAGGGGACCAGCTGCTCAGCGCGACCATATTCTTTGATGACATTAAATATGAAGATGCTCTCAAAATCCTTCAGTATTCAGAACCCTATAAAGTTCAGTTCAGAGTCAAACGGAGACTCCCTGACCGAGAGGATGACAAGGGGGCCCACAGCGGTACCCAGCTCAGCCCAAAGGGCCCCGAGAAGCAGGTAAGGCGAGCCGGGTGGCCAAGGCTGGGATGGGGTCTTCAGCCCACGCTTCTGCCTTCAGATGCAGGTACCCACAATCTGTCTCCTGTGTTTCAGGACAAAGAGGTCACCGACAGGCGCTCAGAGAGCCCCACAAAGACACTGGAAGGAGGCGGAGACCAAGACAGGCTCCTCCCTAAGGCCAGGGAGGGGCGTGGCCGGAAACCCCAGAAGGAGAGGCTGTCTTGGCCCAAGTTCCAAGCAATCCGGCCCAAATACAGGCCCGGGCCCCGGAGGTCACACAGCTCCTCAGAGGCTTATGATCGGGCTGCCCCTGATGTGTCCCCCACCAGCACAGACACGGAGGTCCAGCTGCCGGCAGAAGAGCAGGAACTTCAGAGCGGCCAGCGCAGAAGGCGATTCCTGAGTCTGCGGTTCCGGACAGGATCAGGGCGTCCAGGCAAAGAGGCCCAGGGCAGGCCAGTTCCCAGGGTCAAGGAGGAGGCGGAGTTCTGGAGCACAGGGGTCTCTCTGAGCAAGGAGGCCCCCGGCTTTGAGGATAAGGTGCCAGGGCCTGCCACCAGACGCAAAAAGAAGATCAAGGAGGCCAAGGTGCAGGGGGAATTGGCCTGGAAGAGGGGTCCCCAGGACAGCCTTGCCCCTGAGCAGGCCTTGGAGGACAATGGGGATGCCGTGCGGGGCCTGGAAATCGGAATTGCCAAGTTGTCTTTGCAAGACACCACTCCGTCCAGTGACACGCAGAGTGACCTGCCAGAAATCCGGGTCCGCATCCCCCACCTGAAGACCCCCTGCTTTGGAGTCTCCAAACAGAAAGTGCTGGACACAGACACGGGCATCTCTGAACCCCAGTTGGAGCAGTGGCCAGGAATGCCCTCTGGAGTGGGGCCAGGACTCAGGGTAGAATTAGAGGGAGGGGCCAGAGCACCCCAGGAAGACCTGCCAGGGCATGGGGACCAGCAAACATATGAACAGACAGTAGGACAATCTGGGGACAAAGTCAGGGCCGAGGAGAAAGAGGCGGAAGGCAGCGAAGGAAAGCTAAAAATGCCCAAGTTCAAAATGCCATCATTTGGATGGTCACCCAGCAAGGAGTCAAAGACACCTGAGACAAAACAGTCACAGGAGACCAGAGGTGACCAGGTGATAGCTGGGACAGCCAGGTTACCAGCAAGAGCCAACAGAACGGAAACAGAGCAGGAGCATTATGATCAAGAAAAAAGAACAGACATCAAGTTACCAGGCACGAGCCTGGAAGAGGACATGTCCCTGGCAGACAAAGGTGTGGTCACCAGAGATAGCAAGTTCAAAATGCCTGGGTTCAAGATGCCGTCCTTTGGGGTAATCCTTACCAGCAAAGAAGTGACACCTTCTGTGGATGAGTCCTTGCCCAGGGTCGGTGTAGAAATAAACCTGCCCACTGTGGAAGGAAACGCTGACATCACAGAGATAAAGGCAAACATGCCATCAAGGGAAGTAGCTTTGAAGACAAGAACCATCAGCATGAAAATACCAGAGAGTGAAGTGTCAGCGGAAAAGGCAACCATCCAATTAGAAAGAGGAGGGCTAAAAGAGGAGGTGCCCAAGGTCCAGATGGCTGACATCCAGAAACCAAAGGTGGACCTAAAAGGCAACAAGATGGACGTCAGCTTCCCTGATGTGGATGTGTCACTGCCCAAAGTCTCAGTAGATGTTTCGGTTCCCAGGCTCTCTGTGGACGAGGTGAAGCTGGAGGGAGACGTCAAGCTAAGAGACAAGGACATCAAGACCAAGGACAGCAAGTTCAAAATGCCCTCCTTCAAGATGCCATCATTTGGCGTCTCTGTGCCAAGCAAGTCCAGAGACGGTTCAGTGGACGTGTCTCTGTCCGAGGCACAGGTGGATGTGTTTTTGCCCTCTGTTGAGGATGAAGTCAAGACCAGCGATGTCAATATTCAACTCCCATTAGCCACCATAGATGCAAAGGGTGGTGAGGTGGATGTGAAGATCCCTGAGGGCCAGCTGCCTGAAGGAGAGTTCCTGGGACAGGCTGTGGGAACGGGACTCAAAGGTCACCTGCCCAAGTTCCAGAAGCCCAGCGTCAAGATGCCCAAAGTGGACTTCAAAGCCCCCCATATGGACATCAAGGGACCCAAAGTGGACATGAAAGGCCTCAAGGGGGAGGTGGCCACCCCAGATATGGAGGTGCCACTGCCCAGTGTAGAGGTGGATATCCAAGCACTGGGTGCTAAGTTGGAGGGTGACTTGTCCCTGGGAGACAAGGACTTGGCCACCAAGGACAGCAAGTTCAAGATGCCCAAGTTTAAGATGCCATCCTTCGGGGTGTCCACTCCGAGAAAGGACTTGGGAACCTCTGTGGACTTGCCCAAAGTGGATGCAGAAGTGTCCCTGTCCTCCATGGGAGTAGAGCTTGAACCTGCTGAGGGTAGCATCCTAGTTCCATCTGCTGACATCTCCCTACCTGGAACTGAGCTGGACACAGGAGAGCTGAAAGGAAAGGGTGATGGTGTTAGGATCAAAGGGCACCTGCCTAAAGTCCAGATGCCCAGCATCAAGATGCCCAAGGTGGATCTGAAAGGCTCCAAGGTAGACACCAACCTCCCTCATGTGGATGTGTCACTTCCCAAGGATTCAGTGGAATCCCAGGCTACCAGGCTCTCTGTGGAAGGGGTGAAGCTGGAGGGAGACCTCAAGCTAGGAGACAAAGATGTCAAGACCAAGGACAGCAAGTTCAAAATGCCCTCCTTCAAGATGCCATCCTTTGGTGTTTCAGTGCCAAGCAAGTCCATTGACGCTTCAGTGGATATGTGTCTGCCAGAGGTGCAGGTGCCCTCTGTCGTGGGAGAAGTCAAGACCAACACCTTCAGAATTCAGCATGATTCGGCCAACATAGACCTGAAGAGTGGCGAGGTGGGGGAGAAGCTCCCTGAGGGAGAACTGGCAGGAGAGGTCATGGGAGTGAGACTCAAAGAGAACCTGCCCAAGGTCCAGATGCCCAAAGTAGATTTCAAGGGCCCTAAAGTGGACTTGAAGGGCTCCAAAGTGGATGTGAAGGACCTCAAGGGTGAGGTGGCCATCCCAGACATGGAAATGTCTCTGTCTAGTGTGGAGGTGGACATCCAGGCAACAGGTACCAAGGTAGAGAATGACGTGTGCCTGGGAGACAAAGATTTAGCCACCAAGGACAGCAAGTTCAAGATGCCCAAGTTCCAGATGCCCAGTGTCAAGATGCCTAAAGTGGATTTAAAGACCTCCCAGGTGGACATCAAGGGCCCCAAATTGGACTTGAAGGGTCTGGAAGTGGATGTGAAGGGCCTCAAGGGGGAGATGGCTACTCCAGATGTAGAAGTATCTCTGCCCAGCAAGGGAATGGACATCCAGGTGCCAGGTACCAAATTAGAGAGCGATGTGTTGCTGGGAAATAAGGATTTGGCCACTAAAGACAGCAAGTTCAAAATGTCATCCTTCGGGGTGTCGACTCCAAGCAAGGACTTGGGAACCTCCGTGGACTTGCCTAAAGTGAGAGTAGATGAACCCACTGAGGGTAGCATCCCAGTTCCATCTGCTGACATCTCTCTACCTGAGGCCAAGCTGGATGCATCTCCCCCAGAGGTGGAACTGTCCACAGGAGAGCTGAAGGACAAAGATGAAGGCATTAGGAACAAAGGACACTTGCCCAAGGTCCAGATGCCTGGTATCAAGATGTCCAAGGTGGACCTGAAAGGCCCCAAGGTGGATGCCAGCCTCCCCGATGTAGAAGTGTCCCTTCCCAAGGTCTCCATGGATGCTCCAACTCCTGAGTTTTCTGTGGAAGGGGGGAAGCTGGAGGGAGACCTCAAGCTAAGAGACAAGGACGTCAAGACCAAGGACAGCAAGTTCAAAATGCCCTCTTTCAAGATGCCATCCTTTGGCGTTTCCATGCCAAGCAAGTCTATCAAGAGTTCGGTGGACCTGTCTCTGCCAGAGGCACAAGTGGACATGTCTGTGCCCTCTGTCAAGGGAGGAGTTAAGACCAGTGACACCAGCATTCAGCTCCCATCGACTAAGGTGGATGTGAAGGCTGGCGAGGTGGGCGTGAAGCTCCCCGAGGACCAGTTGTCCAAGGAAGAGCTTAAGGAACAGGCTGTGGGAACTGGACTCAAAGGTCACTTGCCCAAGTTTCAGATGCCCAGTGTCAAGATGCCTAAAGTGGACTTTAAGACCCACCAGACAGACATCAAGGAACCCAAAGTGGACTTAAAGGTCCCTAAAGTGGACGTGACGGTCCACAAAGGGGAAGTGGCCATCTCAGATGTGGAGTTGTCTCTGCCCAGCGTGGAGGTGGACACCCAGGTGCCGGGCACCAAGTTGGAGAGTGACTTGTCCCTGGGAGACAAGGACTTGGCCACCAAGGACAGCAAGTTCAAGATGTCCAAAATGGACCTGAAGGGACCTAAGGTAGACACTAGCCTAACTGATGTGAACATGTCGTTACCTAAGGTCTCAGTGGATACCCTGGTCCCTGGGCTTTCTGTAGAAGGGGTGAAGTTGGAGGGAGATGTTAACCTAGGAGACAAGGATGTCAAGACCAAGGACAGCAAATTCAAAACTTCCTCCTTCAAGATACCATCATTTGGCATGTCCACATCAAGTAAGTCCATCAAGGGATCAATGGATGTGTCTTTGCCAGAGGCACAGTTGGATGTGTCCCTGCCCTCTGTCGAGGGAGATGTAAAGACTGGTGTCCTCAATATTCAGCTCCCATCAGCTGATGTGGACATAGAGGGTGGTGAGGTGGGCATGAAGCTTCCCGATGATATACTGCCTGAGGAAAAGCTGGCGGAACAGTCCATGGGAGCAGGACTCACAGGTCACCTGCCCAAGATCCAGATGTCCCATGTCAAAATGCCAACAGTTGATTTCAAGACCCCCCAAATGGACATCAAGGGCACCAAAGTGGACATCCAGGGCCTCAAAGGGGAGGTGGCCACCCCAGATGTGGAAGTGTCTCTGCACAGCATGGATGTGGACATCCATGTACCAGGCACCAAGGTGGAAGGAGACGTGTCCCTGGGAGAAAAGGACTTGGCTGTAAAGGGCAGCAGGTTTAAAATGCTCTCCTTCAAGATGCCATCCTTTGGAGTGTTAGAGGCAAGTAAGTCCACGGAGGGTTTTCTGGATGTGTCTCTACCAGAGCCACAGTTGGATGTGTCCCTGTCCTCAATTGAGGGAGGAGTCAAGACTGACGACCTCAGCATTCAGCTCCCATCGGCTGATGTGGACATAAAGGGTGGTAAGGTGGGCATGGTGCTCCCAGAGGGCCAGTTGTCCAAGGAAGAGATTGCCGGACAGGTCACAGGAGCTGGATTCAAAGGTTACTTGCCCACATTCCAGAAGCCCAAGGTGGATTTCAAGATCCCCCAGGTGGACATCAAGGGCCCCAAAGTGGACAGGAAAGCTCTCAAGGGGGAGACGGCCAGTTCAAATGTGGAGGTATCTCTGCCCAGCATGAGTGTAGACATCCAGAGACCAGGTGCTAAGTTGGAGGGTGACATGACGCTGGAAGAGCAGGACTTGACCACCAAAGACAGCAAATTCAAGATGCCCAAGTTCAAGATGCCATCCTTTGGGGTGTCCACTCCAAGCAAGGACTTGGGAACCTCAGTGGACTTGCCTAAAGTGAGTGTGGAGGCATCCCTGTCTTCCATGGCAGCAGAGCTCCCACCCACTGAAGGCAGCATCCCAGTTCCATCTGCTGACATCTCCCTACCTGGGGCTGAACTGGACTTGTCCCTCCCAGAGGTGGAGCTGGCTGCAGGAGAGCTGAAGGGCAAGAGCGAAGGCATCAGGATCAAAGGTCACCTGCCGAAGGTCCAGATGCCCAGCATCAAAATGCCCAAAGTGGACCTCAAGGGTCCCAAGGTGGATGCCAGCCTCCCTGATATGGACATGTCACTGCCTAAGGTCTCTGTGGAAACTCTGGCTTCTGGGCTCTCTGTGGAAGGGGTGAAGCTGGAGGGAGACATCAAACAAGGAGACAAGGACAAGACCCATGACAGCAAGTTCAAAATGCCCTCCTTCAAGATGCCATCCTTTGGCATTTCTGCACCAAGCAAGTCCATCAAGGGTTCAATGGATGTGTCATTGCCACAGGCACAGATGGACTTGTCTCTGCCCTCTGTCGAGGGAGAAGTCATGACCAGTGACCTCAGCATTAAGCTTCCATCGGCTGACATGGACATGAAGGGTGGTGAGTTGGACGTGAAGCTCCCTGGGGGTCAGCTGACTGAGGAAGAGCTGGCAGAACAGGCCGTGGAGGTGGGACTCAAAGGTAACTTACCTAAGTTCCAAATGTCCAGCGTCAAACTGCCCAAAATGGATTTCAAGACCCCCCAGGTAGACATCAAGGTCCCCAAAGTAAATATGAAGGGTCTCAAGGGGGAGGTTGCCGCCCCAGATGTGAATGTGTCTCTGTCCAGTGTGGATGTGGACATCCAGGCACCAGGCACCAAGATGGAGGGTGACATGTCCCTAGGAGACAAGGACTTGGCCACCAAGGACAGCAAGTTCAAGATACCATCCTTCGGGGTGTCATCTCTGAGTAAGGACTTGGGAGCCTCCATGCCCAAATTGTGTCCAGAAGCCTCTGAGTCCTCTGTAGGAGGAGATCTCCCACCCTCTGAGGGCAGTATCCCACTTCCATCTGCTGACACCTCCCTCTCCCTACCTGGTACTGACCTGGATGTGTCCCTCCCAGAGGTGAAGCTGGCTGCAAGTGAGTTGAAGGACAAGGGTGAAGGTGTTGGCATCAAAGGTTACCTGCCCAGGGTCCAGATGCCCGGCATCAAGATGCCCAAGGTGGATCTGAAGGACCCCAAGGTGGATGCCAGCGTAACCAATGTGGACATGTCACTACCTAAGGGCTCAGTGGACGTCCTGGTTTCCAAGCTGTCTGTGGAAGAGGTGAAGTTGGAGGAAGATGTCAAGCTGGGAGACAAGGACATCAAGACCAAGGACAGCAAATTCAAAATGCCCTCCTTCAAGATGCCATCGTTTGGTGTGTCTGAGCCTAGCAAGTCAATCAAGGGCTCGGTGGATGTGTCTCTGCCAGAGACACATGTGGACATGTCTCCGCCCTCTGTAGAGGAAAAAGTCAGGACTGGTGACCTTAGAATTCAGCTTCCATCAGCCAACATGGACATGGAAGGTGGCGAGTTGAGCGTGAGGCTCCCTGAGGGCCAGCTGCCTAAGGAAGAGCAGTCAGAACAGGCCATGGGAGAGGAACTCAAAGGTCACCAGTCCAAGTTCCAGATGCCCAGCGTCAAAATACCCAAAGTGGACATCAAGTTCCCCAAAGTGGACATAAAAGACCCCAAGGGGGAAGTGGTCACTTCAGATGTGGAAATGTCTCTGCCCAGGGGGGATGTGGACATCCAGGTTCTGGGCACCAAGTTGGAAGGTGACTTATCCCTAGAAGAGAAATGCTTGGATACCAAGGACAGCAAGTTCAAGAGGCCATCCTTTGGGGTGTCCACTCCGAGCAAGGACTTGGAAACCTCCATGCATTTTCCCAAAGTGGATTCAAAAGCCTCTGAATCATCTGTGGGAATGGTGCTAGCACCATCCAAGACTAGCATCACCCTACATGCGACTGATCCGGACATGTCCCTCCCAGAGGTGCAGCTGGCTGCAGGAGGGCTGAAGGGCAAGGATGAAGGCATCAGGATCACAGGACGCCTGCCCAAGGTTCAAATGCCCAGCATCAAGATGCCTAAAGTAGACGTCAAGGCACCTGAGGTGGATATAAAAGGCTCCAAAGTAGATGTAAAGGGCCTCAAGGGGGAAGTGGCCACCCCAGATGTGGAGGTATCTCTGCCCAGCATGGAGATGGACATTCAGGTACCAGGTGCCAAATTGGAGGGCGACATGTCCCAGGAAGACAAAGACTTGGCCATCAAGGACAGCAAATTCAAAATGCCCAAGTTCAAGATGCCATCCTTTGGGTTGTCTGCTCCAAGCAAAGACTTGGGAAACTCCATGGACTTAACCAATGTGGGAGTGGATGCGGCCCTGCCATCCGTGGGAGGAGAGCTCACACCCACAGAGGCTAGCATCCGAGTTCCATCTGCTGACATCACTCTACCTGGGGCTGAGCTGGCGGTGTCCCTCCCCAAAGTGGAGCAGTCCTCAGGAGAGCTGAAGGTCAAGGACGAAGATGTCAAGATCAAAGGGCACCTGCCCAAGGTGCAGATGCCTG